TGTTGCACTATGTTGGCCAGTCTCTTCAGATTCTCATGTGTTTCTGCGTTTATTCCGGTCTGGAAGCAATAAATTTGGACACTAACCGATGAGCAATCAACTGTGAGGCAAAGAAACGTCAGTGTGCAAATAGGATTGCATGTCTACGAGAGGTGGTATAGGGCGCATCCCCCCTGGGCCCAATTTTTCCGTCAGTTTATCTCGTTCTTTTTATTTCTATGCTAATTTTTTGACCGTTGGCCGGGGGGACGGGGGGGGGGACGAAACACAGGGATTGGAGTTGCGCACTGATACTGTACCGGTTCAAAACAGATGTGAACACACTCGTTGATTGGATGCATAGAAACGTGGTACTTTTACCGCGCCATATATATATATATATATATTTAGTCCGGAGAAATTTTCAACATTGAGCAATTTTCTATTCCGAAATAGTGGATGATTTAAGGGGGCAGGTGCATTCATTTAGTCAGTCTCTATGCAAATATGCTAGTTGCGTAGGAAAATAAAGTTTCGAAAATTTCCGGGCTGTGCAAGGGAACGAGGTCGTGATTCAGTCGGTGTCTGTGGATTTGGTTTCCCTCTGGCATTCCCCCACCCACCCAACCACGAGACAAAAAAAGTATAGTACAATCTAATGAAATAGTGGAACGAAACACGAGGTTTGCACTCTCTCTCTCTCTCTCGGTGCGCGTGTTTGACAAGCCGGAATGGCATCGCACTCAGGTTCACGTTTTTGATCTGTTTCGATTTGTCTATTAGTTAATTTGTGACGGACTAAGGTGAACGTGTGGTTCACAAATTTATTGCTCATGTTTCGATTCGTGTATCTGTTTGTGTAGCACTGATTTGGTCGGGCTAATGGATGAATTATCATTTCCCGGAATTCGCCACCCCACTACTTCTCTCTCTCTCGCTCTCTCTCTGAACCTTTCGACAATGTTGTTACTAAATTCCCATTTTTCAATTCCCATTTCAGATCGATCAACATACGCATTAATTTTTGCTTTCTTTATCTTGACCACAAGTAAATGGATGAAGGTTGATCTGTGCTACGGGTAGTGTACAGCGAAACATTAAACAAAAACTCAGCTGAACCACTAATACGTGCCTACTTTTCAGCAAACGATGGCACTGTCAATCAATTGACCAAACCTTTTAGTGCACGACCTCCGGAAAAGATTGATCAGTATAACCGGTAGGCTGGTTTTCTGTGGGTGTACGCGGGGCTCTGGATCAAACTTATTCCCCTCGCGTTCGGGGATCGAAGAAGAGGAACTTGGCAGAACTGCAAGTTTCTGTTCGCTATGAGCACGGAAGCTTCATGTGCACAAAGAGTGATGTATCTATCGTCCGGTGATTAAGTTTGTGGGCACTGGAACGCATGTTCGCCAATTTTATGTCGGGGTTTACACAACTTAATTCAATAGTCCACATACTGTATTGCGTTTGAACCAAATTGTACTGTATCAGTGCATGGCGGTTGTCAAGCGTATGTATTCGGCAATAATCAGACAACGATCCTTCACGCGTTCTTTTCTCTTACGGATGGATTATTGATTATTTCAAGGGCTCACGTGACTGGCGTGTCAGTTCAATCGTTCTTGTGACACGGCTTAATTTGCACTAACTGTGGTCATTTATGCTTGATGGTGAATTTGATCAGGGTTTTGCATTCTTTACCGGTGCATGACAAAAACATACTCATCAAGTAAAAGAATTTGTGCATAATCTTTGGCACAGGAACAGAAGTGGTACAGAAATGCGTTCGATCAAACATGGATTTACCCCCATTGGTGATGGAAGAGCAAAACACCAACCAAAAACAAAAAGTCAAATGTGCTAGTACAAGGTACAATCATGAATCTCGTCCCTGGATTATTTTACTTTATTTTCTTCCAGTTTAGCCCGATTGGAGTTGTAAATATTTCTGCGCAATCTGTTCAAAAACTGTCTGTCAACTATTGGTCTTCTGTTGAATCGCTACAATATATAATCAAATATACAGAGTGCGATAAATCAGTACGAGTCTACACATATTAGGACCAAATCAAATACATTTATCTTGACACCGCAAACAACGCGTACCGACACAATCTTTCAATTTACGATGTCATGCTGCTATGAATGGCACGACAGTGTGATGGCTGAATCGTTTCACATGATCGTGTACTTTTCAGGATGATCTTGGTATCATGTGTAGTTCATCCGTGTGGTGATGGTCCTCGTGCTGTACTGTACAGTCAAGGTTCATTTGATTTGCTAAAGACTGTAGACTGGCTGTAGACAAATGTGATTTTTCGCTCGGGTTATCCGGGCCGACATGGGAGAAGGATAAGTTCTGAATCCGACACTGTTTAAGTGTTGGTAGAGAATCACCTCAGAGGAATCAGT